ACGCCATTGCCGGTGACTCACGGCATCCCAGCTCCAGGTCGAGCTGCTGTTCATCATCTTAACTTTAGGGGGCAGTGTCTCTGACTCATGTGGGATCCGATTCAGCGGTTCTGCTACTCAGAGCTCACGCTCCCAAGCCAAATCTTAACCAATGAGCCACTCAGCCAGCCCCCTGTCATGCTTATTTCTATTCTGCAATTTTCCTCATATTTCCCATTCCCCAGCCTCCAGAATTTTCTTTCCTTCGTGATACATGGTTAGACTCTAGAGACAGAAAGAGCTAGATTCCAATCCCAGCAATATGACTTCTAGGTCGGTGTTCTGGGATGCGTTTCTTCAGCAATCTGGACTTAACTTTATCCATGATATGGACATAAAAATGCCATGAACAGAATTATAGTGAGGATTAAATGGAATAAAATATATAAAAAATATATACTCACTGCCTAGCTCAAAGAATATACTTAAATATGAGTTCCCTTCCCACCTACTGATTTTTCCAGATCTGATGCAAGTTCTACCTAAAATCTCACTTCTCCCACAAAACCACCAGACATTTCAACCTTCATTTATCCCTTCCTTGAACACCAACATTACATTATGTAGTATTTAATTTAGCACTTCATCACGTCGTATTATATTGCTTCCTAATTATTTTACCTCTCTGTCATCTGTAAGTTCTTTATGATAGGGGACAACTCCTAATATTATACAAGGTCAGAAAGTTCACAAACTTGTTACAACAATGTTGCTAACCTTTTTTGACATCAGAGGGATTGTTCATTATGAATTTGTACCAACTGGACAAACAGTTCACCAAGTTTACTATCTGGAAGCGCTGAAGAGGCTGCGTGGAAAAGTTAGACGACCTGAACTTTTCGCCAACAATTCATGGCTCTTGCATCACGACAATGCACCAGCTCACAAGGCACTGTCTTGTCAGGGAGTTTTTAGCCAGTCAACAAACAACTGTATTGAAACACCCTCCCCACTCACCTGATCTGGCCCCCAATGACTTCTTTCATTACCCAAAGATAAAGGAAATATTGAGAGGAAGATATTTTGATGATATTCAGGACATCAAGGGTAATACGAGGACAGCTCTGATGGCCATTCCAGAAAAAGAGTTCCAAAATTGCTCTGAAGGGTGGACTAGGTGCTGGTGTCAGTGCATAGCTTCCCAAGGGGAGTACTTCGAAGGTGACCGTAGTGATATTCAGCAATGAGGTACGTAGCACTTTTTCTAGGGTGACTTTGTGAACGTAATTGTCCAACCTCATACATATAGGGGTTATTGAGTCAATATTTTATGATTAAATAATTGGTTGTTTATGGCAATTATTATACTAATAACCCAGAGAGACATCCAAAGGAACAGCTGGCGACTCCCATTTGCACTTTCTTTCTGACCCTTGACCTCTTCACTTTTCCCCCTACTTGTCTTAGGTTTTCCCGGTTCTGTTTTCTCCCTTGCCTGGGCCAGATCTGCCAGTGGTACTTGTGGATACTACTCTTAGCTCTAGGGGTAGCACTCAGGGTTATAGTACAGAGCCCAGCCCACTACTTCCTGCCTCCAGCTTACCTGTGAAAAGTTCAGGGGCCATATGGATGGGTGTCCCCACAATGCTGCCTGACATCATGGCCTCTGGCTTGCAGAATCCCAAGTCAGTGATCTTGGCACGGTTCTGCTTGTCCAGCTGTCAACAAAGCAGGGCAAGAGTCACCCTGTGTCTGGTCCTGCACATAGCACTCACCTGCATCCCCAAGCTCACAAGCAGGTTTCCACCTCAGTAGTACTTAATCCTGCCTCCAGTCTCCCTGCCTCCAGGTTCATTCCCGTTACTGTCTTCTTCCCAGACAGACTATACGCAACCTGATGGCAGGGACTCCCTTTTTCATCTTTGGGTTCCCAGCATTTAGCATAGCGCCTGGCACTATCAGGAGCTTAAGAGACCTTGGAAGAATGAATAAGTGAAGGACACTGAGGAAAGTACTTCACTTCCTGATTATTCTCCTCTGAGATCCAACTTCAGGGCAGAAAACTGCTAAGTAAGAAGGCTGAGGTCCTTTGGCCAGCTGAGGAGAGTTTCTTGAATTCCCTGTAGTTTCCTTTCCTAAAGGTCCAAGAGAATAAATCTGTGTCTCATTTGGTTATTGATAAGTCTCTTAGGTTTTAGCCTATAATTTTAGAAAGATCTTTCCGTCCCCCAAATTGCTATATCTTTCTTTACACGTCATTTAAGTGTTGCCAGAGATCCTCAATGATAATCCAATATATTTTCAAGAGAAGCATGTCAAGAGATTCTTTATAATTTAGATATTCATGACTATTTTCCCTCTTAAGGTGCATTTACCCACCTCAGCCCTCATCCAGCAACCCCAATCAAACCCTAAACAATAATGAGACCTAGAATCCTTAAAAATATCAAAGTCGCAAAAGCAAAAAAGACAGAAGGACTATTCTAGATGAACGGACACTAAAGAAACGTGGCGACAAAATGCAATGCATGGTCCCTGGATTGGATCCAGGACCAAACAAATTAATAGACTATATTTGGGATAATTGAACATATTTGGGACAATTAGAAAATGTTAATACAGACAGTATGTTAACTAACAGTATTGTATCAATGTTAAATTTCTTGGATGTGATAATGCCATTTTCATTACATAGAAGAATACCCTTTTTCTTAGGAGATACAAGCCGACATACAGGGATACATAGGAGATAATACATGTTCAGTTCTAGACAATTTCAATAAAGCCCATATTCCAATAAAGCAAGTTTCATGAATTTTTTGGTTTCCCAGTGCATATAAAAGTTATGTTTACATTATACTGTAGTCTATTAAGTGTTCAATAGCATTATATCTAAGAAAACAATAAACATACCTTAACTAAAAATACTTCATTACTAAAAAATGCTAACTATCATCTGAGCCTTTAGCAAATCATAATCTTTTTGCTGGTGGAGGGTCTTGCTGAGGCTGCAGAGCTCACACTCTTAACCTAACTCTTAATCAACTGAACCACTCGGCCAAACCAAAGGCCATTTTGTCTACATTGAAAATGTGTGGTTTAGGGGCAGCCGGTTAGCTCGGTTGGTTAGAGTGCAGTGCTCATAATACCAAGGTTGCCGGTTCAATTCCCACATGGGCCACTGAGTTGCGCCTCCACAACTAGATTGAAGATAACTACNTTTTTTTTTTCCTTTTAAAGAGAAAGTGGGTTATTTGACCCAGCAAATTCAAATATCAAGCTTTGAAATCTCAAAGAAAGCAACTCTTTTGGTAATGGACTCTTGGAGGGCAGCTTAGGCTGCAGTGTGGACTTTGGAGGCTCTCTATTAGTCAGATGGAACACCAAGCATGCCTTCTCGGCAAAGCAAGTCCAGAGGCAGTCTGTTCCCCCAAGTGCTACTGTCACCAATCCTCCTTGGCTTCTCAGTGCTGAATAATGGACCAAAAAATAAAGTGTCGTTCAGTGCAGTTATCACGTTGTAGCCCTGCCACCCCAAACCACTCCTCCCATAAGAAAAAAAACTTTTCCAACACCTTTGGTAGCTCAAGCAAAGATGCAAAAATGCATTGGAGAGCTGACAGGTACGAGTTAAAAGTTCTATCATTCCCTATTTCTATCTGTGGTAGTAACGTATCCTTTCCTCCGCTGTTTCCTTGACTTTTAGTGTTAAAAATGAGGAGAAACTGCTGCCTAGGCTCTGTCCCCCTGAAAATGAAGGCAGTCACAAGCGACTCTCTTTGGTCTGGGAAGAACCAGCACGGTCCTCCTTCCCGGAGAAGTGAAAGGCTTGCTCAATCAATGAGCTTCTCTCTGCAGAAGATTAAGGGAACTAGGGCATGCCTGTGGAAACCTCACCCAAACGAACATTCCTCAACCCATGGCTGGCTCCCTAGGCACAGGGTCAGCAACTCCTAGCTCCACTCCACCATTTATTCCAACTGCTCTGCAGGAAGGTCCCTCACTCAGTTTTGAAGCCACATAAGTGATTAGACTTCAAGTGCATTAAAAATGGCCAGGTGATCATCTGGGGGCTGGGGTAAATTGCCCTAATTAAGTTGATCATTAGGATAGAACATAGTAAGAGTAATTCTTTCATCCTATCCTTCTTCGTCCCTCAGCCACAATCTCACCGCACCACTTGCGAGCACACATAGCCAAAGCTAGGAGGTAAAATCTTCAGACCTGGGTCTTGCTGAGCCCTTGACAGCCTAAGTGCCACCAGACTTNTTCCTCTATCTCTCCTCACTGATTGACTTAAGAACTCTGTTCCCTTTCTCAAGGCTACCCATACCTTGTTAATCCATTTAATTAACAGAATCCTAACCTGAAAAGAGCAATTTCTTAATCCTCAAGCACCCGGACACCGGAATACAATTTAAAACTCTCTTGCAGTTTTTACTGGTGATGCATAAAGACCCAGGCCTCAGTGGCTCAATCCGAGTCTGGAGTTCAGAGATGCCATTATCTTAAAAAGACCAGATCCCAGGAAGGATGTCAGCTCTCAGTCCTGCCTGAGTGGCTCCCCCTTTCCTATATAAGAAAAAGCTAACTTTAAGTTAGGTGCAGCTGTCCACCTCGAGACTCTGCCCCTAGCAACCCCTCACCTGCCAGTGTTTCTCTTCTTACTACCCAGCTGCCACTGGCTTCCAAACTTGAATAAAACCTTTGTTTGCTTTCCTACTTTTCTGAGTCTTGTGAATTCTTTCACCTCTGCGTATGACAGGGATTAATTGTACACCGTTACAAGTTTGATGCACATCCTTACAAACTTTTTTCTATGCATATATATAGAGAGAGATGGACTAGATCTCTAGACAATTTGGGGTTATGGAGAATGGAAGGGATTTTTACACAAAAAGGGGTCATACTAAATATATTCTCCTATAAATTATTTTTTCACCCAATGATGTAGTATAAACATTTTTCCTTGTCAATGCATAGAGACCTGTCATTCCTTTTAATGGCTTAGTATAGGATTCCAGAGTATGA